CGAGCTATATTACAAGGCTGTATTAATCAAAACAGCATGGTACTGGTATAAAACCATACACACAGATCAGTGGAACAGAATAGAGAGCTCAGAAATAAATCCACATCCATATGGTCATTTAATCTATGACAAACGAGGCAAGACTATACAATTGAGTAAAGACAATCTCTCCAATAAATAGTGTTGGGAAAACTAGACAGATACATACAAAAAAATAAACTGGACCACCTTCTTATACCAAATACGAGAATAAACTCAAAATGAATTAAAGACTTATGTGTAAGAACTGAAACCATAAAACTCCTAACGGTAACTCATAGGCAGTAAACTCTGATATTGCTATTAGTAATTTTTTTTTTATGATATATCTCCTTAGGCAAGGGAAGCAAAAGAAAAAATAAACAAATGGGACTACATCAAATCAAAAATTTTTTGCACAGTGAAGGAAACCACCAACAAAACAAAAAGACAACCTATTGAATGGGAGAAGTTATTTGCCAATGATATTTCTGATAAGGGGTTAATATTCAAAATTTATAAAGAGCTCATATAACTCAACACCCAAAAAACAAACAATCCATCTAAAAAATGGATGGAAGACCTGAATAAGTATTTTTCCAAAGAGGAAATATAGATGGCCAATGGACATATAAAAAGATGCTCACTAATCATCAGAAATGCAAATTAAAAGGTTACTAATCATCAGAGAGATGCAAATTAAAACCACAATGAAATATCACTTCACATATTCTACAATGCCTATCATCAATAAATCAAAAAACAACAAGCACTGGCGAGGATGTGGAGCAAAGTTACCCCACATGCACTCTTGGTGGTATTGCAAATTGGTGCAGCCACTATGGAAAACCATTTGGAGGTTCCTCAAAAAATTAAAAATAGAACTAACTTTTGACCCAGCAATTGCCCTTCTGGATATTAATCCAAACATAATCAAAACACTAGTTATATATAATCTCCAGAAATCTGATACCCTTATTATTTTAAAATTTTTAGCCAATAGACAGGTACAATAAGGCAAAAACCCATTCATCTGTAACAGGTAGAATAAGATAACCTTATTTGTTCAGATGGCTAAGGCATTAAGATTTCTATTTGCCTTTGATAATCAGTTTTTAAGTAGGCTAGGGGTAGCTGCTTAGGCAAGAGAATCTTTTCAGTTGCTTGTTCTTTTAAAAAAGCTTTTCTTTCCCATTTTTTCCCTTTGGTTCTTTTAGTCTCAGGTAGTTTTTGGCTGTGTTTACATTTCTGATTATCTGTTAGAAAGGCCTTGGAATGTTACAGAGGAAGCTTTAAAAATCCTATTTGACTTTGAAAAATTAGCTTCCAATTTTGTCAAATTTCTGATCATAAAGTTATTAAATTCTTTGCAAGATTTTCTCACTTTTCAGACAGGATAAACAGTAAGAAATATTAAAGTACCTACTCAGTTGTCCAAAGTTTCTTTTAGGATATTTTTTAGAGAAATTATTTTGTCTTTTAGAAACTTCTGCTTATCAATCAAAGAATGTATTTCACTGTTCTGAAAGGATTGGGTTCTTCTGTTTATGAAATCTCTTTCTTTTGACAAACAACATAACAGAGACAAAAATAAGAAGAAACAAAAGAGTGGAACCAAATGAGTACTCACCCATCAGGAAAACCCCTGGCAGTTGCTTACCCACCAGGGCACTTCTTACAAGTGTGAGAGCTATGAAAAGTCTCTCCTGAGGGGGAAAAAATAAGATTTTTTTCCCCATGAGGTAGTACACTCCCGTGTAATCCTGCTGCCTGCCGGCACTAGGACAATCATCCTGGGGCAATCGCCTCCTGTCCCTAGCGGGAAAAACCTTTCACAATCTCAAATAGATGAATTTAACCTTAATGAAAAAGGGAGAGAAGTCTGAACCTAAGAGGGCTTTGGTTAAGGAGATAGCAGTCCATGGAAGCAGTGAGCACAAAAAGGACTCTATAGTTACTATACCCAAATCCAGATTATGCTGGTCCGTGAAGGTGAAGCCATTTTAGAGCCCACTCCTGACATCAGACATGTTAACCTAAAAATGAAAGGCCAAAGTGAGAGGCAACAAGCATTTATTCGAGGTTTTCTTTTTTTAAAAAAATAGCTGTTTGGGAAGCACCAAATCAGGCAGAAACCCAAATAGTGTCCCAATTAGGAGACAAAGGCACGGGGTATTTATGAAAAAGGGAAGGGGAACAACATCAACAGAAGGAAGGCATTTCTATTGGTGCAGACTAACATAGTGACATTAATTCCAAAGAATATTTTTAATTTTTAGCCTAGTAGTCATCAGTCTGGTAGTCAGAAAATTTACTTTCTTATTATCTTTGTAATTATTAGAATTGGTTTATAAAGAGCTCTGTTTAATTGGCTTAAATAAATTAAGCACTTATGTAAATTAAGTAATACAACAGAAATTAACAGAAATGCTTTTCAATATCCTGTGATCTTAGAAATGTTTAATATTAAAGATAATATTAATTTAGTTGGTTTAATTAAAACAGACAAGTCTTTAGAGTTATTAATTTAATATAATATTTTTATGTTATCTAGATTTACAAAAAAATAAGTTCATCTTATCTCTGTTACAGGGTTTCGCAACAGGAAATTAGCTTGGGATAAAAACTGACTTTGTCTAATGTCACTTAAAATGTTAATGAATAATGTAAACATAATTATTAAAAATTAATTAAATGTAAATAGTTCCTTGAGATGCAATGTTGCTTTATGCCCAGCCCAAGGGTTATTTTGCCCCACTTTAATATTCCAAAGGTTGAGGCATAAGACATGCAAAGCAGTTCTTCTGGGATGGCAGCTCTGATTCTATTTTAAAGTGACTTTGTTTATATTATCTTTTTACAGAATTTATAACTTAAATAATTTACCAGTAATTAGAAATACAAAACTAAAGTGAACTATAGCTTGCAAATAAAACACTACCAACAAAATCCTGTTGTATAGTTGCAGCTATCAGTATTTTGTAAATACATCAGATGCAATGCTGTATACATTTCTTATAAATAAGAGCGGCAATGAATGTATAGTCTGTTTATTATCTGTGTTGCAATCCTGTGTGTGTGTATGTGTGTGTGTGTGTGTTGCCAAACACAATAAAATATCTAGAAAGTGCACAGCTCTACTTTGTAACGTGTTTTCAATTAGGATTTCCTCGTGGATAGCATAGCTTTGGTCTGTTCATTTTCCCATATTAATAATTTAAAAATATTAATGCTTGTAACCTACAGGACTGAGGTCCCTTGGTATATGTAAAGATTCTTTCTAGAGAAGCTAATTTGGAATGATCCAGACAAAGGTTTATTTCAAGGGACCTTTTGAGGGCTTTACTTACTCCAAGTTTCTATCAATTCATTTACAATATTAAGTGCATATTATTTGTAAGGCTCAGTATAGACTAAAGTGGGGAGTCTTGGGCTCAGAATGTGAAACAAGTTAGGTGGGTAGTAATATTAGAGGGAGTCAGTTCTGTGGTATTTTAGAGCCTGGGCTCAGAAATCAGGTTCACTTGGGTTTCAATTCCCATTGTGCCACTCACTAGTTGTGTAATCTTGTGCAAGCCATGGGGATACATAATGCCTACTTCATAGAGCTGTCAGGAGGGAAAAATTAGAGCATTATAAAAGATTTTGTACAGTATTGGCACATAACGTTTCAATTAAATCCATTAATCCCTTTGCCACTCAAGCAATAGGTGTGTAAAAAGTACTCTTTAAATTGTTTTACACATGATCTCTTATTTTGTCTTTATGAAAATTCCCAGATTTAAGCAGAGTGATTTTTATTTAAAAATTTTTTTTATTTTGGTTGTTCTGGTTAATGTAATTTTTTTTTTTTTTGGTCTTAATTAATTTTCAAGACTCATGAAAGATTGTAAGTTGAAAAGGCTTTTGAGGTTATCTGGTCCACTGTCTGAGATGACTTTTACCCCTCTTCCACTGATATTTAAAACCAGGAAATAAATACTATATCCTGGACTATTCTAGCTATTGGTGGAATAAGGAAATAAAATGAGAGGAAAGGAAGGCCAATGGAATGTATAAGGGAAGAGACTAGTGGGAGAGGCACTGTAAGAATGAGTATAGGGAGCATAAACTAAAGGGGGGAAATACAAGAGAAGGAAAAAGACGGAAAAGAGAACTTGAAATAAGTCCAAGGAGAAAAGTAAGAAAAGAGAAAGGGGAAAGTACAGAACGATAGCAATTCGTCAATACAGGCACTATTTGAGTTATATTTCTGGGTTCTGATAATTGTAAAATGCATGATTATTAAAAGGCATTTTGATTAACTTTTCTGAGTCGTGTTCTTTGGTGTGCGTAGTGTTGAAACAGATAAGTTGAATGACGACGTTCTGTAAACAAAACTATTCAAGTAAATTATCAGGAAGAAGAGAGTGGAAAAGGAAGATGCTGAGAGGAAAAGGGAAAAGAGAGGCATTGGCACGGGAAAACGGAGAGGAAGAGGGTGAAAGAGGAATTGTTGACGACTAAACAGGCGAGAACTTAAGAAAACCACAGTAAGAATACTGCCGTGGTGACTGCTCCAACACATCCAGCATTGACAACTTGCCAGCTACGTACGTTGTTAGAGCTTTACGTAATTTCATGTTATCCTCACAGTATCTCTATGGGGTTAGGTCCTGGTGTTATCCTCATTTTATAGAAGAGATAATTTGAAGCACAGAGTGGTTTTGTAACTTTCCCAGGGTCTTACAGATGGGAAGTGGCGGGAAAGGGATTTAAACGTAGGTCTACCTGCAAAGCCAATGCTGTTAAAATTATCTCTAGAACCTTGAAAGAGGCTTGGTGGGTCTAAGGTGGACCTTTGTCTGAGTTCTTCCAAGTTATGCACTGGGTTCAATTCCTACACACAAAGCCTTTTCACAATCTGGCCACCAATAGCGTCCCGTCTCCATGGAGATAGGCGAGAGGCGGAACTTCCTCTTTCACGCACGAGCATTTCCGCCTTGAGCCGGAAACGCTGTGACTAACCGAAAGAGTTCCTTCGCGTGTGGATTTCTTGGAGAGTTCGAGTGGTGGGACCGCGGCGGCAGTGAGAGCGACCGACTTGGGCACCGGAGTCCGGCGCAGCGATGCTGACCCCGGCGTTCGACCTCAGCCAGGACCCCGACTTCCTGACTATCGCCATCCGCGTGCCTTACGCCCGAGTCTCCGAGTTCGATGTCTACTTCAAGGGTGTTGACTTCAAGTTCTATGCTAAGCCATATTTTCTCAGGCGAGTTCTGGGTGTCTGGCCGCGGGGAGCGTATTTTGGGGACTCATTCATTTATTAACTTATTCGATAACTGCTTATCGAAGGAGTATGAAAGAACGAGGGAGCACTTCTCGATTTCACCACTGCCTTTTTCGAGATTTCCGCAGCTGCTTTTGGTGCTGATGATGCGAACTCTTCCAGGCGTGAGTTCTAGATGCTGCAGAAGCTTATCTTGAATCCCCACATTAAAGAGATTTTGGAGCCATTTTAAAACGTGGAGTTTGGGACCATGCCAACTTCCCAGTTAACATCCTGTCGCCTAGGTTCTCGTCCCTTCCTTTTTCTGTTTTATTTCGCTCTGCGTTAGTTCTCTTTGCTCCTGGACGGCCCGCGCTAACTTCCTTACTGACCAATCCATTTGACTTTTCTCAGACTAGGTTCTGTTTATACACCTCTTGGCTGACGCTCCCTACTTCCTGACATTCTCGCCTTCTTTGGCCACCTTGATAACAGAGTAGCCTTGTTCTCCTACCTCTTCCTTGTCTGCTACTTCTCTATTTGGTTGTGCTCCTTAACTGTGATTGTCTTCCGTCAAGTCTCAGGGAGGGGCCTTCAAGCACTTGTCTGTTTGAGGCTTTTCCTTGCAGAACCATAATGTAACAGTAATAACAGCTAACACTACTGACCTTCCATGTGAAGGGCAAGCAATGCGTTAAGTACTTTATCTCATTTAATCTAGACAGCGATCCTTGGAAATAGGCATTATTATTAGCACCATTTTACAGAGGACACTGCCAGATGATTCTTCCTAAACATTGTCAATCCTCCTCTTTTCTAGGAGGGAAAATTCATTCTGCTAATCTTTCTCATTCAAGATTCATTCTGCTAATCTTTCTCTACTTTTCCTGCCCAAGTACTTTACTAATACAAACCTTTCTCCCTAGGTAAGCAGGTTCCTTCTCTGGACCTGAACCAGTTTTGCTCAGATATCCATTAGCTTGGAACTTAATCGACCTACTTGAATATAGTGAACTTCTCTATATCTTTACTCATTTATTTCTTTAATTTATTTATCAAGCTTATGGTATATACCAGGCTCTATTTTCAGTATTGGGGATGTAGTAGTGTTTCATGTAGTTTACATTCTAGTAGGGAAAGAAAAAGTAGTAAACAAACATATAACTACAACTTGCAGTAAATGCTCTGAAGGGATAGAGAAAGAAAAAGAAGACTGTGTTCATATAAAGTGGCCAGGGAAAGCCTTTCTGGAGAGGTGATATTTAAAACAAGACATGAAAAAATTGAAGATGATGATGGTGGCGTAGCAAACATTTATTGAATTTTTACTTTGGGTTAGTGCTTTATGTGGATCATCTCATTTGACATTAGGGCAGTTGTACATAGTAGGTTCTATTATTTACCCATGTTACAGGTAAGGAAACAAGCTCAGAAAAAATTGTTACATGAGATAAGATTGTGAAATAAAATGAATACAATAAATTTTTAAAGTAAAAATCACTCTGCTCAAATCAGGGCGTTTTGGTGAAAGCAAAATAAGAAGTAATATGTGAAACAATTTAAGGGGTACTGTCCACACAATTTTATCCATTCCTTGAGTAGCAGAGTCTTGGGAATTGGGCATACCTGGGTCTCAGGACACTTAGAGTTCTGTGACTTTGAGCAAGTTATTCAGTCTCAGTTTCCTAATTTGTAAGATAGGACTAATATTAGTGATCTTAAAGAGTCGATGTGAGGATTACATACATAGTCCTTATTACCATGCCTGGTAATTAACCATGTGTTCAATAAACAGGCTTTATTATTTATTAAGAGCCTGCTGTTGCAGTTATCTATTGCTGGATAAGCGAGCAAACTTAACAACAATTATTTAACAACAATTATTTAACTCCCTGTCTTGGTTTTTGTGTGTCAGGAATTTGGTGAGGGCTTGGTAGGACTGTTCTGGCTTGAGATCTTTAATTCAGTTGTGGTCACCTGGTGGCTGGATCTGGAACAGCAAGGGCCTAAGCAACTGGGCCTAAGCAGCAGGTGGGGGAGGGTATCTCTCTTCCTGTAGTCTCAGGTTCTTCCTGTAGTCTCGAAGCAAGGTGGGCGGGGCTCTTTCATGGTCTAATTTGTGATTCATTCAGGGAGTTAGACCACTAAAAGGGGAGCAGAAGGTTTCTGGAGCTAGTATTTCAGCCAGCAAGGCAGAATCCTTATCATCTTTTATGACCTAACCTCAGAAATCAGCGTCACTTCTGCTTTATTGTATTGGTTAAAACAGTTCCAGAAACCCACTCAGTTTTAAAGGGAGGGGACGTAGACCCCACTGTTGGGAGAAGTGATGTGAGATGAGCCATCCTTGAAAATACAGTTTGCTATAGTATATCAAAGATGAATAAAACCTTGCTCCTCTCCTTGAGTTATTCAGAATCTAGCAGAGGAGGCATATCTGTGAACAAATATGATTTTACTATTTCATAGTAAGAATTTATACTTATGAAGAGTCTAGGAGAAGTTAATAATAATAGCTTATATCTTTTGAATGCTTACCTACTGTACCAGCCACTAAACTCTTTGCATTATCATTTCCCTGGGATAGATTCTGTTATTTCCCCCTTTTCACACATGAGGATTATGAGCCTTGAAGTTACTTAACTTGTATAAAGAAAGTTATAGAGCTGGTAAATGGCAAAGCTGGACTCAATTCAGATTCTGATAAAGTTTGTGATGATTATAACTAATTTATCCATAAACTACTTTTATTGGGTTTAGAAGGGATCTAGATTCAGAAAATGCATTGTGGCTCCAGGAAACATTGCTATCAATGAATCCCTGGGCCTATTGGGGTCTGCCCAGTTGTTGTTGTTGCTGTTATTACTGTTAGAGTAGGAAGCAAGGTGGGCGGGGGGGGGCGGTATGGGAGGAAAAGAGGCTCAGATTTTAAGTTTGGAATGGAATAGTGTTGGCTCGATATGCCATACTGATGAGTTTAAATTAGTCAGTGTTGGGCAGCCATATAAACTTTTTCAAATAGAAAAAGTGACAATCAGTCTTCTGTTTTAGAAAAATTCTTTTAAGACCTCAATGGAAGGCTGAACCAGGGTAAAACTGGAAACAGGAAAATCAGTTTTATTTCCTTTAGTAAGAAAGAAGGGGAAATCCCAATATAGTAATGATGAGATTTAAGAAAAACACTTTTCTGCTTTTTTTAGTGGTAATTTCCCAATAAAAACAATTGTTTTTGTTGTTTTTTTATTGTTTCCCATTTTGTTTATTTGTTTGTTTTTGGAAGTCTACTTTTTATTGGGCCCCTGCTGTGTCAGGCACCAGATATAATAAGTAGCTTTCTTATGTATTAGGAAGGGAGAACTACTATAACAATAATGATAACTAATATTAATTGTGGTTCTCTTTTTAGTATCTGTTTTATTGGTGACTAGAGGATATTCAAACAGATGAATCATCTCTGGTTTCTTTTTTCTTAGCTAGGGAAGAAATCTAAATTATTTAATTTGTAAAATGTTAAAGAAATGCTGAGGGATTTTCTTTTAAAACGGTTGATAGATTTCAGTGGGTAAATGTATGTACTGTTGTCAATTGCCATTTATTATAGTTCGTAATTTAAGATTCATGACAGCTTATGTTAAATCTGCAGATTAACCCTTCCTGGAAGAATTATAGAAAATGGAAGTGAGCAAGGGTCTTATGATGCAGATAAAGGTATTTACTTTGGAATTTTTGTTAGTTTTGTTCTTTGTATTCTTCATGTTAGAATAACTACATAAAAATCTTTTGAGATGCTGTGAGGACCTTTTAGGTGTATTGCAAGTGCAGTCTGTCCCTGTCACTCTCTGTTGCTCAATGTTCAGGGCATGTTATTCATGGATTTCTTAAAATAACAGTTTCTTCAGTCTTTTAAAGTATTTCACAATATTATTCAAAGTAAAGTTAAATTAAATAATCTAGTGTTATTTTCTACTTTACATTATTAAGTAAAAGATGTAGATGATTTTAGCTGTGAATCAAATTTTTCTTATACAGTTTCAAACTTAAAATTTAATATTGTTAACCAGTGTCGCCATAAAAAAAAACTAATAACATGTAGATGAAAGAGAAGCTGTCCATAAGTGGCATTTGAAGACTGACTGAATTTCCTTCTCATGATTGATAAGTTCTTCATTTCAGCTAGCCATGAAACCATTTATTTTTCCGTTATAGAAGCCCCTGGGATTTTCCTTTGTTACTGGGTATGGAATAAGAATACACTGTGTACTCTTGTGTAATTTATTCAGTGAATATTTATTGACCTTGGTGAACCAGGGTAAGAGAGGGAAGATGAGATGAGAGTTAAATGACAAAGTTCTGTAGTTCTTCTGTAAGTATATTTGTTCGAAGTTCTATGTTGCCAATAATGTACTGTAATCAATGCGAATAATGAAGTATAATGAAATTGCCTTCCTAGGTAGTAAATCTGCTTTTAATTGCAGATAAGTTGCATATTAAAACAAAATTATTAAATTTTAAAAGTACACAGGGGTTTAGGAAGATTGTATATTTGGAAATATTTGGGTTGAGTTGTATTTGATATATTAGGATAAGATTCAGTACACGGAAAGAGGTAAAATGTTTTAAAATATGAGTAGTAACTAATGTAATAAGTTCATAGGGGAGTCTAGATGAAGTTGGTAAACCCCGTCAAGGAAAGAAAATAAGTACATAGATAGAATTTGTGTCTAAAGCCTTAGACAGACTTTAGGGGTATATCTTCAGATATCAAAGAGCATAAAGCCATAATTGCTTTATTTAAGATTTTGTATAATTTTGAAACTGCTGCTTTTCTTCATTGGATAAGATATCTTGATTTTTTACCCCCTTACTTTGGAAATAAATTCTCTAAGTAGCTACTGGTTAATTCCAAGCTATTACCGTTTTAGGTCATTGAGTTTTATATGTTTTGATTTGGACTTTTATTATTTTCAATAGTTAAGGTGATACTGCATAAGACTAAAGCATTCTGCAGCTTTAACATTAACTTCTTATAGAGATGACAGCTGAATCAGGAGTTCTGAAAAACCTGTTGGAACCTTTTTCTATTTTGATTTTTATTAAGTTTATGATAAAGGCATAATTTTGGAGCTCTATAAAATAGAATTCTATTTTAACAAGATATGTATTTCTTAAATATATTCATGTAGTCTTTGAATATTTTAATCTTGCTAAGCTTAAAACAAATTTATCTTTAAGGAATTTTTACCATTCAGTTGCCCAAAGAAACTCCTGGCCAGCATTTTGAGGGGCTGAACATGTTAACTGCTCTTCTGGCACCAAGAAAATCCAGGACCGCAAAACCACTTGTGGAAGAAATAGGTATGTTTATTGCAATTGAGAGAAAATGAAGAAAAACAATATTTAGAATGCTGTGTGTTTCTAGGGGAAAAGAGATATAGCAGACAGGAAATTGGAGAGAATACTTCAGGTGACAAGATAAAAGGTTATGTGAAATCATGTGAAAATAGCTCACTTAGTTACGTATAATTTAAAGACGAACTCTCTTGAACCAGTAGGTCAGTCACATTTTTGGACCAATTGAAATAACATGTCTGTCTTTGGCAAAATATTGACCACTTGAGCTTAGATCAGAAGTGTATAATGACTTACATGAAGTGAACACCACTTGAGTCAAGAAATGGAACATTTCCTTTCCACAGAATCCCACCTGGTATCTCCTCCCAGTTACTTCTCCCTCTCTCCTCCTGGCTTCTTTCACTTTTTTTGTGAGATTTCTTCATATATGGCTAAGGTCTATTTGCTTTCATTGCATTTGTTATTTATATATCCTATTATTGATGACCTGTGGGTTGATTCTATTTTGGGGGCTATCAAGAATTGTGGGGCTATGCATATTCTTGTACATATCTTTTGCTGTGACATAGGTAGACATCGTTTCCCATACATTTTCTTCCTCAAGTTGTACCTAGGAAATTCAATACTTTAAAAAAATTAATATTTAACACATTTAGGTACTTCGGAGGTCTCTGAGGAAGGAGTAGAAGATGACGATGAAGAGTTTGACTGGGAAATTGAACAGTTCCCCTATAACGAGGTATCAGAAAGTGCTCTCAACCCACAGTACCACTATGGATTTGGAGACTTACGATCAGGAGTGTTTCAGAGGTTACAGGTATGTTGTCTGTCTAAAAGACCTGGATATATAGGGTTTTACCACATGGATATTTTATTTTTGGTCTGCTCAAAAAACTGGGAAGTTTTTTTTTTTTTGTAAACATTATAGAATTGATGTATTTAGCACACAAAGTACATCTCCTTGTATGCATTCATTACATAGGTGTTCACTCCCTTCCATTGTAGTGACTGCTTTGTCCAGTCTTAGTATGTTTACTGATGAAAGATGTTCTGTTACTTTCTTTTTTTTTCTATTTCATTCAGTATCTAGACATAATTAAGCTTCTAAAATACAAAATGGAACCCTCTTTCATACTTCCTGGAAAGCTTCATGTTTTATACTTCTGAAAAGTGAAAATTGTGTACTTATGGCTTGATGTCTTTTCTATTTTATAGATAAATAAAGCAGAATGTTCCTAGTGAGAATGAGTTTGTGTTGTTTGATCAAATTCTTTAGTTTTTGGTGTACAGTAGGAACTTTTGTCTGTTTACTCTTGGTAGAGTTAAATGTACTCTCTCGTTAAAACCTTATTGTATATAAGTTAGATTAAAAAGTTATGAAGTCACTTTCTCTTCCTCAAATGATGTAGGAAATTCTACTTCATTTTGGGTATGTAGAGAGATTGAAATGAATGAAATAGGAGAGATTTTAGATTATTTTGTACTTACATTATTTTATAGGAAACGTATCCCTAGAATATCAGGTTATGAAAGTGTTGATGAACCATTAATTTGGAGTGTCTTAATTTTTTTTTTTTTAATGAAAGACACAACGGTAAACCTGTTTTTTTTGGTACTTCATCCCAGTCTGGGTAGAGGACGTTCATTCTCTTTAGAATGTGGTTTATTATAGGAAGACATATTTGAGTGTACCAGGGTAAGGTAAATGACCTATGTTGTAGTCTCACTTCTATTTCTATTTAGACTTGGGATTCCAGCCCACTTATTTGACCACAAACTAGTTTCATCTCCTCTTTATAGAGATAACTTTGCTCACCTACTTTATAAAGCCATTTAGGAGATTTAGGGAGATGGTACATTTTATAAATTCTTTGAAAACTACTATAAGATATTAGAAATACCTCTGTCCTTGAAAAATATAAAATGCTCTCAAGATGCCTTAAAAAGAACAAAATTGGGATTTACTTAGGAGCAAATAATGCTGAAGAAGTATTTCCTTCAAAAACTTGAGGTGGTTTCATAGTGTAGCGGTTACCATTTCTGCTTTACATGCAGAAGGTTCTGGGTATGTGCCCCAGTGGAGCCACAGTCCATCGTCTACGGCCATGCCACCCTGAACAAGCCCAATGTCTGATCTTGGAAGGTAAGCAGGGTCGGGCCTGGTTAGTACTTGGATGGGAGACCACCTAGGAAGATCAAGTGCTGTAGGCATAAATAATAATAAAAAAAACCCCTGAGATACTTTTCTGCTGAATTATGATCTCTCTGTTTTCTTTCTTTCTAATCACATTGTCTGATCATCTCTGAGGTAGTAAGAATAGAGTCAGTTTTGTCTACAGCAGAAAACTATAGAGAATGAACTTCACTTGTTTGGCTGAGAGCTAGTTTGTGGTCAGTCTGTTTTGGGCTTACCTGTCTAAAGCTATAAATGAATGAATGGAAAAGTCATGTAGATTGTACATTCATTCAGACTAAAAGTGCTTCCTGAGGACGGAGAACTTGGTTTCTTAATTGCTGCTGTTGAGGGAAGATCCTTGAAAGGGATTTCTGCCAGGTTGCTGAGAA